CTAATTTGCCTTGACCACAAAGGTAATCCATCATGCGTATAAAGCGTGAAATTGGCCACCCCTCGAACCCAATGAATGAATGATAGCTCCAACTTGATACCATGCCTACTGAATCCAACCTGATCATAGACTTGTCTATCAAGGAATAACCTAAGATAGACCACCACTTTCCATCAATAAACATGAACACCGTCTTACGAGAGACGATATAAAACAAGGCGCTCTACACTATAAATACAAAGTCATTTAGCCCATGTATGATATCTCACTTTGAATATTTAAACCATATTAAATACTAAACATACTTTAGCATTGAAGTGCCTTACAGGTAGGGGTGTTCGCGGTCTGGATTGGATCGGTTTTGGAAGAAAAAATCATCTGATCCAATCCCTTCAGTTTGGCCATATAATCATCCATTCGATTTGGACTTTTTTTCAAATCCGATCCGATCCGATCCAATTTTTTCGGTTTGGATTGGATCGGTTTTCGGTTTTTTGAAAATCCTAAAATTTGTTTCATGCAGATAACATCTTTTATATATATATTGGCTTTGTAAAAAAAATTTGAAATACAAAAGCATCAGTAAACGATAATATAGTTTTTTTGGAGGGGACAATGAGATATGAAGCTCTACGCAGATGAAATTTTGTTGATGAGATGTGACTAGATTTTTTCTTGGGTTTAGTTGATGGGTTAATGGGTCTTGGGTTTAGAAATTTTTAGATTATGATTGGAGAAAGACCAAAGTAAGTAGAGGGGAATTAATATATTGGATCGGTTTGGATTGAATCGGTTTTCATTAAACAATCCGAAAACCGATCCAATCCAATTAAAAATTGCGATTTTTTTTTCGGTTTTCGATTTTTCGATTTTCGGTTTGTTCGGTTATCGGTTTTTCGGTTCGGTCACCGCGGTTTGAATCGGTTTGGATCGGTTGATGAACACCCCTACTTACAGGTATTCAGAGTCCCCTCCAAACTGCCCAGATACACAAGTTGCAGATCAACCATCTCGGCGAAGTACCTTACCATCTATCATTCTCTTCATCAACATTCTTCAATCTCAACTGTGTGTAATCAAGCCCAACCCAATATTAGTTGGACTGACTCATCATGGCAAAAAAATTAATTTAATTTATTTTAATAAATTAATTACACATTTATTACAGTTTTAGAAATAATTACACATTTATTGCACAGTGTGACGCCCAATTTGGGCGTCACTAGAGACACCTAAATTGGACGTCACTCAAGAGGCAATCACGCCTAATTTAGGTGTAACGCCCGGCCGCTTCAAGAATCAACGACTATCCCCACATACTAACACGAGACTTTTCAGTGTGTTTTTTCCTCACTTGCACACTTCCCGGAAAAACTTCCCAGGAGGTCACCCATCCCAGAATTGCTCCAAGTCAAGCACGCTTAACTATGGAGTTCTTCCGTTCCGGGCTTCCGAAAAGAAGATGCATCTTGTTAGTATAGGTAGTACTAATTAATTCTTATAAGCTATCCCAAACTGTGCAGCCATATACCTGCATAGCATTTGGAATCCCTCTCTTTCGGGTATCGATTCGATTCATTCATGCATGTAACCCCCCGCTGGAAGCCTGTCAGGAGCCGCTCCTTATCTGTGCCTCTTTGCACCGGCGATCACTCCCTGCCCTCGTCAGCGCTCGGGATGTTACATGCCCACCAGCTTCCGCCTGGTTCGTCCTAGAACCACACCGTACTGGATGAGAGGCCCTGCTCTGATACCACTTGTAACGCCCGGCCGCTTCAAGAATCAATGACTATCCCCACATACTAACACGAGACTTTTCAGTGTGCTTTTTTTTCACTCGCACACTTCCCGGGAAAACTTCCCAGGAGGTCACCCATCCCAGAATTGCTCCAAGTCAAGCACGCTTAACTATGGAGTTCTTCCGTTCCGGGCTATCGAAAAGAAGATACATCTTGTTAGTATAGGTAGTACCAATTAATTCTTATAAGCTATCTCAAACTGTGCAGCCTTATCCCTGCGCCTTTGGAATCCCTATCTTTCGGGTGTCGATTCGATTCATTCATGCATGTAACCCCCCGCTGGAAGCCTGTCAGGAGCCGCTCCTTGTCCGTGCCTCTTTGCACCCGCGATCACTCTCCGCCCTCGTCAGCGCTCGGGATGTTACATTAGGCGTCACTCATCAGGTGTTGACACGTGTCATATTTTTTTTCAAAAAAAAAATAATTTAATCATAAAACTTCTTAAGGCCATAACTTTTGACTCGGGTATCCAAATCAGGTAATTTTTTTTTATTCCACAAAACTTTTCGAGATCTACGCAATGACATCTCATTTGATATATTTTATTTCTCACAAACATAATTTAAATTTAAATCAGGTAATCCTTCTTCCTCAGAGATTTAGAATATTTATTTAATTATTTCCTTTATTAATATAGATTTTTCAAATTGATTTTTAAGTTTAAATCACAAATCAAATCGTTATTTTGTTTTCCTTACTAATAATAATTGTTATTTTTTAATTTAAATCACTCATCAAATCTTGATTTATTTTTTATATTAAATCACAAACCCATAACACAGAGGCTTCTGAGTTTAAAAATGTGACACGTGTCAACACCTGACACCTCACCAATGACGTATAAATTGGGTTTCAATCAAGAGGCAATCACGCCTAATTTAGGTAATTTTATTTTTGAAAAACATTCATGAGCCATAATTAATTTCTGACCACAAGTAATAACCCAGAAGCTTATAGCATTAATCATTAATTTCAAAAATAATATCCTTCTTCCCTAGAGATTTAGAATATTTATTTAATTATTTTCTTTACTTCTACAGATTTTTCAGTTTAAATCACAAATCAAATCTTTATTTTGTTTTCCTTATTAATAATTATTTTTATTTTTATTTTTAATTTAAATCACAAACCAAATTTTTGTTATAATAAAAAAAATTATTATAAAAAAAATTTAAATCACAAATCAAAATTTCATTTATTTTTTTATATTAAATCACAAATCTAGAACTCAAGAGGCTTCTGGGTTGAACCGCTCTTATAATACCATTCTTGTAAATTAAAATTGTGTTTGTGAGAAATAAAATATGTCAAATGAGATGTCATTGCGTAGATCTCGAAAAGTTATGTGGAATCAAAAAAAGAATTACCTGATTTGGATATTCGAGTCAAAAGTTATGGCCTTTAGAAGTTTTATGATTAAATTATTTATTTTTTTGGAAAAAAAATATGATACGTGTCAACACCTGATGAGTGACGCCTAAATTAGGCGTGATTACCTCTTGAGTGACGCCCAATTTAGGCGTCTTTAGTGACGCCCAAATTGGGCGTCATATTGTGCAATAAATGTGTAATTATTTCTAAAACTGTAATAAATGCGTAATTAATTTATTAAAAAGCATTAACTTAATTTTTTTGCCGACTGATCTTATATAAGAAAAGTTACGGCTGACAACTGTCGTAAAAAAATATATATATTACTCTAGCTTTTCATCCAAGTAGTGATAAATTCACCAAAAGAGTTCGGGTGTGCATGACAACCTTCCTGGAATCAATTTTTTTTTTTTAATTTATGTTCCCGGGAACAGAAATGGATAGAAAACTCGTTTGGTAAAATCGGTTTATTTTTTTGTTCTTGGGATGAACCGGTTTATTTTTTGTGCTGGGGAACAGAAAAAAGAATCAAAAAAATTTTGTTTTTTTTTTATTCTGGGCACAGAATGAGAAACACTTATCTCTCTCAACCATCATCATCACCGCCACCACCATCCCGACACGACCACCACCACCACCACCGTCATTACCACCACCACCACCACTATTACCATCACTGTCACCACCATTATCACTACCACCACCACCACCATCATCGTAGCCATTGCCATCACCACCACTCCACCACGCTACCATTACTATCGCCATCACCACTGCCGCAACCACCACCATCACCACCATGTCATCTCCATCACCATCGTCGTAGACACTGTTGTCACCACCACCACTACCACCACTACCATTGCCACCACCACCGCCACTACCACCAACATGTCATCATCATCGTCATCATTGCAGACACAACCATCACCACCAGCACCACTACCGCCGCCACAACCACTATGCCACCATTACCACTACTGTTGCTGCCACCATTAACATTATCACGTCATTGCCACCACCACCACTACATCATCGCCACCACCACCATGTCGTCACCATCGCCACCACCACCATGTCGTCACCATCGCCACCACCATCGCCACCATTATCACCACCATCATTGCGGCCACTGCTGTCACCACCACCATCTCTACGTCACTGCCATCATCACCACCACCACCACTACCATCACCGTCGACGCCATTATCACCACCACCATTGTCGTAGCTACTACCGTCACTACCATCACACCACTACCACCACCATTACCACCGCCGTCGTTGTCACCATTACCACCGTCGTCGCCGCTACTACCATGTCATCACCAATATTGCCACCGCCACCACCACCATGACACCACCGCTACCGCCACCACCACCACAACGCCACTATTACAATCACCACTGCCGTCGCCACCACTATCACCACCACACTATATGAAAAGGAAAATGATGATCCAAAATTTTTTTATGCTTAATAGGAATGATCTTTTATTCTATTAATTGTTGTGTTATGAAACGCAATTCTCATTCTCAGAATGAAAATAAAACATATTATCAAACACATTTTTTTTCTCAAAAATTGTTCCAAGGCACAGAAATAAAAAAGAATTATTTCTTTTCAGAAACAATGCCAGGAAACAGAATGGTTGCCATGCACACCCTTCGTCTAATAATCAGTTTAATTACCTAAAACACAATACTAAATGGAAAAGACAGAAATATTTAGAATTAAACAGAAACATTTAATATTTTTAAAGGATAAATGAATACTTTATTAGTCCTACAAGGATGAGCATTAGTAACACTTTAGAATCATTTTTAACAGATACATTGGTTCCTCTGTTAAACTCTCACGTTAAAAGCTAACAGAGTTGATAATGTGTACAGATGAATGCCAAGCTAGATGGATTAAATAATATATATATATATACACATACAAGGACTAACATGCAACCAGCTCTCATGTTAATTTACACCATGTTTTGGTAGCAAATAAGAGAAGAGAATTTCGTTCCACATATCAGGAACACCAGGTAGACACCAATGACTACAATCTGGCACAGATGGATTGTCACTCCAAGTGCCCACATGCCCATCGCTCCTATATGCACCCATTGGTGTAACGTGCAGAACTGTTACAGGAGCACTCATTTTTTTGACAACTCTGTTGATCATATCTGAAATTGGGCTTCGGTCCTTGCCATTAGTTCTCTTCCAAGGCCTTCGACTCACTTTGCAAGCATTACGGTTCTGTCCACTGTCACAAAGACAAACATTTTAAGTCTTAACACTATACACCTATCATCAAGTTTCATGGCCTTGTGTTATCATTGAAGAATAAAAAATCTTACACTCACTCTTAGTTGTTAATCTACATACATTTGATAGTTGTAATTTATTAAGAATCAATAATTAATTAATAACTATAACTCAATAAATTACAATCATCATATGCACGTAGATCAACAACTAAAATTGAATATAAGACTTCTTATTTTTATACCGGTAAGTTAATACTGCCCCAAAAGAATAGGGAAATAAATCCTGTTTAGTTCATATTTAGCCATTGTCCCAAATGGTGCACAACCTACCTCCAATGAGATGATTCAAAAGTACGGAAGAATATTCTTGTCCTGTTTGTGTTAATTGTATTCTCTACCCAAGATGCCCAGGTGAGCAGAGCTGTGTTGAAAGCAGAATTGATTGGCATTCCAAGCTTAACTGAGTTACCAACCTGAAAATACCAGCCCCTGTCTGAAGATCACGTTAGCAGCAAATGGCTGATACTATTCAAGAAAACTTAGTCCTACACATGTATCTAATACTCAAATTGTACATGCCCAATTTTGGAGAAAACTAGTGTATGTTGAGGTACAAAAATATTCACAACAGATGAATGTCCAAAACAAATCACATCTACGTTAGTTTTATGCAACTGTTTAGTGGTTGCCAAGTAAGTTCATCTCCTAAGTTGGGAAGTTAGTATCCTGGATGATATTTCTATACAGGGCAGATGGTGATAAGACAACATCTTGTTGAAGTTCATTTATGAGTTATGACAGTGTCGATGGTATATAAGCATCTAATCTAAAGAATTATGAAGATCAAAAGCTTCTCAACCTCTCAATTGATTTGTGTAAAAAAAAAAATTTAGTATCTTCCCAAGCCTGACATTCGGCTTCTCCTTAGAGAAATAGTTTTGTACAAGTAATAGCATTACTTAAAAATTTTCAAACGCTTAAAATCCTCCCAATAATACTCCTAACTAAATATTCAGAAAAATCACATTTCTCTGCAGCAAGTACTTGTTGATTAAGAAATGTTTCCTCAATTTGATCAATAGAACCCAAAATTATCATATGAATGAGGTTGTCATTTGAGGTAAAGCTAGTGCTAGTTGAAAATCCTTTGAACACCCAGTACAATGAGATATACATCTTCTTGCAACTCTTATCACTAATAAAGATGTGTGATGGGCTGAGATATTTAGTGATGGGCTTGAGATAATTAGTTAGTTAGTAGGGAGTTATTCTAGAATATTCTCAAATAATAGGATATAAGGAGGGGAGAGTGGGAGTGTGAGGTATGCATATATTGAGTGAAATGGAAATTGGGAATGGGAAAAGGATCTGTAGAGATCTCTTGAGGCCTAGGACTTTGGCTTTGAGGGTGAGTTGAGACCCTTGGTTTATATTTCTGTCATAGTTGTATTTTCCTACATTGTCATTTACTATCGTCATTGTCAGTAGAAGTTTGTATGTATGTTAAAGCTCTGTTCTCTGTTGTTATGGTAGATACTGTCAAAGAAGTTATCTCCAATGTATTATTAAGTGAATCGAAGTGTTCTTTTACAGTATTTGTTGTTATTTTTGCTGTTAATTGATTGGGGTTCCATCAATGTGTGATTTGGAAACTGCCAGCAAAGTATGCATTCTCCGGATCCAAAGATGAAAGTTAAGTCCATTAGTCCTAAAGCATTATCATAAAGCATGTAAACAAAAGATTATGAGAAAGTAAATCATATCTCTTGAATTTATGAAGAACAAAAAGATCATGGCATTAACATGTATATCTTCTATCTTAAAAATAAAATAAAAAATGCATATCATATCTCTATTTGGAGAATGAAGTTACTCACATGTCAAAAAGCTTAGTCCGCGTCCACCAGTGACCTGAATTGAATATGAGAACATCTGAATCAATCCACTCATTGCTAATATCATCGATCTTGTCCAATCTCAGTGTTGTCTTCACCCTTTGGGGTGCATGTCTAGGCACCTGACCAGGCTTCACCAGGAATACTGATCGATAAAAATCGATTCTAACATCAAAAGAACTAAATTTTACCCTTAAAAACCTAATCTGTTTCGTGATATTGTGGCCTCTAATTTCATAGACACTCTTCTTATTCTCAACTCCTGTCATTAGCAAACATATCAAGGACTCCCATTGAGTCCTACTCAATGAATCTCCAACAAAAACCACCCTTTTCCCACGAAGTTGTTCAAGTATTCTACGAGCATCAAACCTTGGAATATCACAATTCTTGGGTTTCCACCTCCATTTTGTATAACCTCTGTCTTTACGCCCATTAGCAAGGCAATTAAAACCTCTTTCTGCAAATGGGCAGTGAGAAGCATCATATAAAGGGTAGCTATCATCCCGGATCCAACTTCCTTCAAACACATTGCAGGTGCTCATTGAAACATTGGATTTCAGAATCTCATAACTATGAACTAGTCGGTGAGAACTGTTAGGAATCTCAAAACTCTGAATCACTGAGGGAGAATTGGGAAATGCATATGAGTATGCCCAAGAAAGAACCAAGAGGAAAGAAATCAAAGACCCAGTTGTGACTAGGCCATTGAAAGAAACAAAAATCCAGGCATTGCTGTTACCCTTAATAATTTTGTGAGCAAAACCGAAAGCTCTTGAGAATAAAGTCCTAAACTTTTCAAATGAAATCCAAAAACTAACCAAACCCAGAATCTGCATGAATTGCAAAACCCACCAACTATCCCATATATCCATTGTAAAAGTACACATGAAGGAAGCAATCAAGCTCTACATCTATATTATCATACTACCAAAAGCATAATTCCTCTAAGAAGGAAATTTGAAAACTGAAGAAGCTAGTGAACAAAATTATGCTTGCATTCAATGTCTAAAAACTAGCTTACTTAACAGTTAACACAAAACAGAACATTCATAGCCCAAAACTAAGACTAGGAAATGGCAAGTTTGAAGACAAAGAATTGCTGAGTGTTTAGAAGAAAAGGAAAACAAAATAGAAATGGAGATGCAAGTGAATTGAAAGATTGCAGCTTTATCAAGGTTAATGCACAAGGTGGTGGTTGTGGTTGTGGTTGCAGAAGTTGGTTGAGACTTGAGAGGCATGAAAAAGTGGACGTACATCCAGAGGGCGAGGGCAATTGGGTCATTATAACATATTCTACTGGCTAGAGAGCCTTGTTTGGTTAAGTTAACAACATGATTTCTTAAATGCAAAAGTGAAAAACAAAGAAAAAGGGAAAAACACGGAGAACCAACGGTAATTGCATATTAAAATTTGTCGGTGATGTTCAGGAAACAAACACAAGTTTCCCAAAAAAACCTGAAACTTTCATTTATTTATTTTTTCCCAACAAACTCATTTCAGTGGACCAGAAGGGTTGGCCCAAAAACTGGCCCAATTTTGTTGAATTAATAAAATTAAATAATGATACTTCTGTTTCGGGGAGGCTATCAAATTTTCTATCTGATGTTGAATGGATTTCATAGGATTCTTATTTGGATTTTAACAGCAAAAATAAGTTGGCTTGCGTGAAACTCAATTCCTTTATATCAACATCGTCATTATTGTAAATTACTTTACAATATTTTGGGTTTTAATTTACAAGGATGATTCGGTTTGACTGAGATATATAACAACGAATAATATACACCAAACAACTGAAAGCGATTACTTAAATATTTATTTTTAAGTTTGGTCAGCTGTTATTTTATTTCATCAAGACTCATTTTCATATTTATTTATATGTCACAATTTTAAACGCAGAAAAGTCTCTTAAAAATTGATTATTTCATGCTATAAAAGAGTTAGGAGTTCAATGGACTGCATTCTTCTGTTCGTGGTAAATAGACTCAATAATTGATAGTAAATGTTAGGTTTGAAAATATTTTCTCCAACTATGATGTAGAGTGTGATTTCCTATACCCGGTATACAGAGTGATATTTAATGTAAGGGAAAAACTACTCTTATGTTACATATGATAACTTTCTTTTCTACACACTCTTCGATAATTGTATCACTTTCTTTTCTTTTCTTTTTATTTTTTTCAGATGGTGGAGTCCACAAATTTGTCTCTGTGACATGAGATCACTTATCTCCTTTAACATGAGATTAATAAAACCCTTAATGCAAATAATGACAGATTTTTTTACAGGAAAATTTTGTAAAAGTTATTAATAAAAGGGTTTAGTATTTGTCAAGACATAGAATTATGTTATTTTTAATAAGAAAAAGACGTGAGTAATAAAAATTATGGGAAGGAATTAAATTGTGTCTTTCTCTCACTTAAAATAATATAATTTTATATCCTTTAAAAAAGATAAACATTTTTCCTTGATAAAAGCCTTATTAGTGAACATAAGCAAAAAGAAGAGATATACTCTACTCGATCATGTTGCTACAAACTATGAAGCACCGATACTTCTAAAATCCTGACGTGTCGTGTCCGACACTCACCGACACTCCAACACCTCCCGACACTCCAATACTCGTTGCAAAGATTCAAAAAAAGTTCAAAGGTTACGTTGTGTTGCATTTTGTGTTCCAACTATTAGATTCGTTATATTATGATTACGATTTTATTGAGTTTAATATAAACATGTGGGATATATTATGTTTCTTTGCAAAATTGATGGGTATTATATGTTTAGCTTTATTTTTTTATTAAATTATTAAATACTAAATATAATATACACTACATAAATTAAAATATTATATAATATCAAAACGTGTCTTAATGTGTCAAAATTTGACATTTTCTAGAATTAACGTGTCGGAGTGTCGTGTCGTGTCGTATCTCGGGTCTCGTGTCGATGTCGGTGCAACATAGGCTACAAAGATGCTATTTGGCTCTACTAACAATCTGACATAGCTATTATCATGCGGTCATGAAGGTGTATGTTAAATTGTGAATATAAACAACTGAAATTAGTTTTACTTTTAGAGGGAGGATATTCTTACTACAAAAATTTTTTACTACTAATTTATTACTCATCTAATCACCATTGGATCAAGGAGAGAGAATGCTAAAAAGTTTTTGAAGAGAGAGAAAATACTAATCTAATGAATATTAGATAGATAATAAATTGGTAGTGGAAAATTTTGATAGTGAAAATATCTCTCCATTTAATTTTATGCAGAAGGAAGAGAATTAGAGGGGAAAAATATCATTTTCCACCAACTACACAACTCAAGTTAATTCTATTTTTCAAAATTAAATGTTACCATCTATTTTTTCACAAAATTTTAAAAAAATCTTGACAATTCTTTAATTATTAATTATTTAATTTGGAAGCTTGTAGATCCAAGATCTCACGTAGAAGTGATGTTTCTGTGCAAGCGTAATAACACAGTGAGACGTCACTTTCCCATTAACCCTTCTTGACCCATATGCTACTGCTGGATGTGTTGGCCGAAACGTTGGGTCTTGTCTTATTTATGGGTCTTGTCTTATTTATGGGTCTGTCCTCGTCCCATTGTTGGTTACATTGTCCATTGTATTAACACTCGGGGTGACGATGACGGTTATCTGTAAATAATTAGTTCAATACAAAAATTTAAGTTGCTGAGTTATGAATTTTTGATTTATATTATTTTCTAATATATTTTTCATGTAAGAGTCTTTTGTATTTGAAATGTGAATATTGCACACATTTTCTCGTGCAAGAGCCATTTGTAATTGAAACGTATATATTGCATGAGCTCAATTTTTTATAATTATTGAAGCTTTAATATCATGCAAAAAAATCAATTCAACCCAAAAGTTTAAATTGTTAAATGATGGATTTATTAATGGTTTATATTATTCTCTTAATGTTAAGTGATATGTTAATAATTTTATATTATATATATGGACTTTATCAATCTTATGCAATAGGAGAAATATTCTATCATGCTACATACACAATTATGTGTGGAACTCACCCAAAAGAAGCAACATGAAAATCGATGTATGTGTAGAAGAAAAAAATAGTCTCCAACAACATGAAAGTATATTTTCCTATATATATATATATATATATATATGGGAAAAGTGTTTGTCATTTTAAATGACAGAAAGTTATGTCATTTTAAGAGAGATACAGACACAGAAAATTTGAATTTTAAATTAAAAAAAATCACCCACTTTCTCTCTCCCATGATTTCCGTTTTTCTGTGTCTATCTCTCTCCTAAAATGACATAACTTATGTCATTTAAAATGACAAACACCAAACCCTATATATATATATAGAGGTAGGATCCTTTGACACCGGTGTCAAATTTTAATTTTGACACCTCATCTCAGAGCCGTTAGATCAAAAAAGATCAATGGTGTCACATGCTTGCAAATAAGAGTCATTGATCTTTTTTTATCTAACGGATCTAAGATGAAGTGTCAAAATTAAAATTTGACACCGGTGTCAAAAGATCCTACCTCATATATATATATATATATATATATATATATATATATATATATATATGACATGGCTTTAATGTTTTTACAGTGAATGTAGATAAATTATCTACATCCACTCCCAAAATAATGTCGTCTTGGATTGAAAGATTAAAAAATTATAATGATAAAAATTATTATAATATTTGAATAAATTATAATTATAAAAACACTTTAATTTTTGCCAAAAAATAATATTGTTTTGGGTTCAATGCAGATAACTTATCTGCATTAAACAAAACAAAACCAAAAAAACCCTTTAACATACCGGTTTGAGAGTGACCATGATTCTAAGGAGGCGTTTGGTACAGGATAAATTTTTTTTTATCCGAGAATCAAGATGTTCAGGAAAATGATGAGAAAATGAGTTTTCTGGGAATGTTACCAAAAAGTTGTTTGGTAGACTAACATATTTCCGAAAATATTGGGTTAATTTTGTTGATGCTGTGTTTAGTTGTATTAAATTTTTCTTTGTCATAGAAATCTTAAAATACCACCTTCTAGATGGTACTCCTGGATGGTTTTTTCAAAAAAAATTACACACAAAAGAAAATCCCGAGAAAATCAGATTCTTGGAAAAAATTTAAAATCCTGTACCAAACGATGCATTCTTATTTATCCAATCAAAGAATCTCGGGAAAACAAAAAGAATCCTGCTACCAAACGAGCCGTAAAGGTTAAGAATCGTGGTACATCTAGCTTGGACAATGGCAGAATATCAAGGTAAATGGTTTTCACATGTCATTTAGGTGGTGTTTGGTTGGGAGCTTTTCAGCGGATATTTATCTTTCTCAAGTATGGCTTTTAGAAATATCATGTTTGTTTCAACGTTTTTCACCAAAAATCCATCTATCCAATTTGTCTGGATTTATGAGAAACATAGATATTCGCACTGTTTAGAAACCCAATTTGAAGGTGGGATTTTTTGGAAAACCGATTATCTGACTTTTAATGCAATGTTGATTTCTTAAAGTTACCTAATTTTCCCAGTAAAATTTTTTCCCACCAAACAACTTTTTTTTACATTTTTCTACCTATCTCACTTTATCTATCTTTTCAATCATTTCTCTATCTATCTCATTTCCCTACTATTCGAAAAAAAATTCCTGAATCAAACGTCCCCTGTTAGAATTACCGAAGTTCACCGATGGAGAATTCACATCTTATAATCGTTCCCTAACTCGTCAGTCGTCACCGAGTTTAGAGTGGTTAGAGGATTCAATCATTCAAATACTATATATTGGATAATTATTTAATAATAATATATTATTTAATGATTGGATAATTAAAAATCTGGCTTTGGCGGGGATCAAATGTAAACTCACATTAAGAATCTAACTAGTATAAAAATCATTAGTTTTCTATTCTTTTACAACTCCTTGTTTCTGTTTGCTTATTTGGTCTAGTTTACCATGTGTTCTAGTTTGTTTTTGTGTTAAGAATCTCATTGTATCTAATAAGCTAGCCGTCGCATCTTTCTTTGTGTTATTTGTTATGTGTGCTCTATCCGTTAGACATCTTATACCCTATATAAGTTGCTTAACTGACATATGAAGTTTATTAGTTACTTTGTTATAAAGGATCTCATTCTCTCGCCTAATAATAAAAAAAAAAAGTATTTCATTCTCTCTGCATAAGCTATCCTTCTTCTTGTTCTTTTTTTTTTTGTGGATAACACAAAGTATAAGCTATCTTATCTTTTTTAGAATCACACTTTTAGTT